AGGAACTGGGTAGATAGTCATAAGTCAGACAAACATCTCTGCTCTCAATGGTCTGTCTGAGCAAGGGAGATCATTCATAAACATTTAAACAATGAAACAATGAATATGGTACTTGTACTGTCAGAGGCTGTGTGGTAAGTAGCCTTGAGGAGGGTTGTGAGGGAGTCTGAGAAGATGCCCGTGGAGTTGAGACTGCTCAGGGAGGAGAGGTAAGGGGAGTCTAGGGTGGCTGGTGACCTAGATGAGGTCAGAGAGAAGGGCAGGACCAGACATGGCCAGAGCCTGTCAGCTGCCTTTGGACTTTGGATTTAATTCTGGCTGCAGTGAGAGGCTGTGGGAGGATTTTGAGCAGGGGTGAGCTGTGGTTTGATGCAAGTTAAAAGATTCTTGGGGTATTGTGAAGACTGGACTGTAACAGGGGCTAGAGTGGAGGTGGGGAAAGCAGTTCCATCTGGCCATGCAGTGGATAGTTGCCTCTTAGGGGCAGGCAATGTTCTTGGCTTCAGCAGTGAGCATAAATCCTTTCCCAATGGAGCTCAAATCCTGGCAATCTGCTGTTGCTGTAGTCCCAGGAGGAGAGTGCATGGTACCTTCATTTAGGCTGTGGCTGTAGGAGTGAGTACCGTGGGATGTCGTTGGCTTCTGGGTATATTTCAGAGGTAGAACTGGATTTGAGCAAGAATTACAAGTGGGATGTGGGAATGAGACAGACCGTGGTTTCTGGCCTGAGCCACTGGGTAGATGATGATCGCACTAACTGAAGTGAAGTGTGAGGCTGATAGGAAGAAGACATTTGGTGAGCAAAACCCAAGTTTCTTGGTTTTGTTACATTAGAGATGCATATTATAAATTAAATGGAAATGGCAAGTCACCATTTAAGTCGGGAGAAGTTGAGGTTGGAGATGGACATTTTGAGGACTTTTAACTGAGGACCATCATGAACAACCCATAAACCCATAAAAGAGCCTGGGCTTTGGACTCAGGCCTCAGTTTCAATTGGGAAATCTGGACAATGAGGGCTGGTGTGACTGGCTGAGTTACTTACTCTATTACCTCATTGTACCTCAACTGTTGAATGGGTGCTTCTTAAGGTTACTGTGAAAATTACATGTGATGATAAGTGTAAAGTGTGTAGTATAGGATTTGGCAGAGTATGAGGAATCCCCCAAATCTTAACTTACTAGTGGCCATTACCCATCTGCATCAGGATAATCTCCAGATCATCTTATTTTATTTTTGTATCTACTCTGATATTCACTTAGATTTTGTTTAGGGTGTTGGCTAGTGGACACTAAGAAGGCAGAGATTACAGGGGAGTGGTCACTCAACACTTTATGGGTTCAAAGTTCTGTGCTAGGCCCCTAGGGACGAGGTAATGAACACAGGGCTTCCTTGTTCTCCTTTAACTTAAGGGTTACATGGAGATGTGAGTGTGGGGGAAGTAAGCTACAGAAAATGACAGTGCAGGCTGGGCGTGGTGGTTCACGCCTGTAATCCCAGGATTTAGGGATGCCGAGGTGGGTGGATTGCTTCAGGCCAGGAGTTTGAGACCAGCCTGGGCAACATGGTGAAAGCCTGTCTCTACAAAAACAAAAATTAGCCAGGCGTGGTGGCACACAACCTGAAGTCCCAGCTACTTTGTGAGGCTGAGGCACCAGAATTGCCTGAATTCGGGAGGTGCGGGTTGCAGTGAGCTGATAGTGAGCCACTGCACTCCAGCCTGAGTAACAGAGCAAGACGCTGTCTTAAAAAAAAGAAAGAAAATGACAGTGCACACCGTCAGAGCAGAAGTGAGGTATGTGCTTGCAAAATCTAGACAGCTTTTCCAAGGCAGTTTGATAATAGGGATTGGGGGAGCTTACTGCAGGCCAGTATAGGCATGAATGACAATAACAATAGCTGAAGTTTGTTTCAGCCCACAGCATGTGCTTTGTTTTTACATATATTATAATTCATTTATTCCTCACAAAACCCCTGCTTGGCCTCCTTTTACAGGTGAGTCAACTAAAGTATAGAGAAATAAATTAACTGATGTTACCAACTGACTGATGGCAGAGATAGGTCTTGTGTACGGGCCCACCTGACTTGAGTTGGGTGACTTTTGTACCAAACTGCTTCTATCATTATTGCAGTGTGAATAATAATTGCTCCAGATGGCTGTAATGCAGCTTGAATACACTGCTGTTAGGCTGTTTTGGTAGATATTGTTGGCTGCAAGTAGTTAGTGGTTGGGTAAGGTTTAACTTCTCCCTCATGCCTAATTCAGGTCATAGAGACCCAAGTCACAGACCAAATTCTGTCACACATACAGACAGTGGCAGGCGTGTAGAACAGTCATGCAGCCTGTTCTGAGACTCCCTGATGTTCCAGCTCTTTGCCCTTGTTGGTACTCTGACAGGCTTCTTGCCTGAAAAGTTCACCCCAGGCAGATGTGCAACAGTCTAATAGGCAAGACTCGGCTAACTTCTGATTGGTGGGCAGCCAAGACTGCTGCACCAGATGGATCAAGCCCATGGTTGCCACTCTGAGTAAAGATTCACTCTGTCTTTTTTTTTTTTTTTTTTTTTCTTTTGAGATGGTGTCTCACTCTGTCACCCAGGCTGGAGTGCAGTGGCGTGATCTTGGCTCACTGCAACCTCCACCTCCTGGGTTCAAGTGATTCTCCTGCCTCAGCCTCCCGAGTAGCAGGGACTACAGGTGCCCACCACCACACCTGGCTAATTTTTGTATTTTTAGTAGAGATGGAGTTTCGCTATGTTGGCCCAGGCTGGTTTCGAACTCCTGACCTCAGATGATCCGTCTGCCTCGGTCTCCCAAAGTGCTGGGATTATAGACGTGAGCCACCACACCTGGCCTATTCATTCTATCTTTACAGCCAGTTCATGCAAGGCAGGAATGCCCTGGCCCAGGCCCAGGACCAGGTATTTTTCCAGCCAGATCCTGTTTGTAGATCATGAAGATTTTCTGCAATAAAAACCCATTTATTTATTTATTTAAAGATGGGATCTGGCTGTTTCCCAAGCTGCAGTACAGTGGCTCAGTCATAGCTCACTGCAGCCTCGAACTCCTGGGCTCAAGCGATCTGGCTGCTTCCCCCTTCCAGGTAGCTGGGACTACAGGTCCCAGGACTATCATGCCTGTCCAGTTTAAAAAAATTTTTATAGAGAGTGGGTCTGGCTTTGCTGCCCAGGCTGGTAAAACTCATTTCTAGTGTCTGTTAGCTAACAAAGCCTTGAATGCCACCAGGGACTATCCATTGTCAAAGATAAACAAAGCCTGACAATAGTTCAAGCAGTAAAAACAGTTTCATTCAATAACTATTGACTGTAGGGGAAAGAGCTGAGCTTCATTTGGTTTTGTGCAGAGGTAACTGGGCCTTTTAAAGGAATTCATAAGGGAGTAAGGAGGGGAGTGAGCGAGGCTCAAGTAGAGTCAGGAAAGTGAATAGTTACAAAGGGTTGGTCTGTGTAAATGTGATTAGGCCAGCTGTGTCTGCCTGCTGTTTGGCCTTTGATTAAATGTTTGCTGGAATAGGTCTTGACCAGGACAACTGATGCCCCTAAATGCAGCTTAAAACACACACACACACACACACACACACACACACACACACACACACACACTCTCTTTCTCTCTCTCTCTCTCTCTCCATGAAGACTTATTTAAAAAATAAATTACATACCACATATAATAATGATGATTCCAGGCTGGGCACAGTGGCTCTTGCCTGTAATCCTAGCACTTTGGGAGGCCAAGGTGGGCGGATCACCTGAGATCAGGAGTTTGAGACCAGCCTGGCCAACATGGCAAAACACTGTCTCTAATGAAAATACAAAAATTAACTGGCGTGATGGCACATGCCTGTAATCCCAGCTACTCTGGAGGCTGAGGCAGGAGAATCGCTTGAATCCGGTAGGCAGAGGTTGCAGTGAGCTGAAATTGCGGCACTGTACTCCAGCTTGGGCAAGACTTCGGGAAGCTGTAGCAAAAAAATAAAAGAAATAAATAAGGAGGCCGAGGCAGGTGGATCACCTGAGGTTGGGAGTTCAAGACCAGCCTGACCAACATGGAGAAACCCCATCTCTACTAAAAATACAAAATTAGCTGAGTGTGGTGTCGCATGCCTGTAATCCCAGCTACTTAGGAGGCTGAGGCAGGAGAATCGCTTGAACCCGGGAGGTGGAGCTTGCGGTGAGCCAAGATCTTGCCATTGTACTCCAGCCTGGGTAACAAGAGGGAAACTCCATCTCAAAAAAAAAAAAAAAGATTCCACCAAAATGCCCTTCCTTCTTCACTGTAAAACCCAAATCTCTGATTTAAGGTCCCAGCTCAGTGTTTCCTCAGTAATGCGCTTTCTCTTGTTTTGAGAGTACTCACAGAATTAATGCTTAGTAGACTCCATTGTGTCACTTAGTGCTTGGCCATCCGATGCACTGGAATTAAATCCTGGCTACTGCAAGGATGTTTCCTCTCTTCTCAAAGGCAGAGCACTTACTGTGACCTAGCTGAACCCCCTGTTGAGCTCTTTTGGTTACAGAACTCTTGTTCCCTGTTGCTCTTTGTTTATAGTGATTGTAGATGTTAGGTCCTCATTATATTACATGGTGCTTTCACCCTTGGAAGGGATTCAGTTACAAAAATTCATTCTTTCCATGATGATACTTTTTTGAACAATGTGGAGAGTATTTGTGTAACAGAAGGAAATGACACATATTATTATCCAGAGAGATCCACATTTTGATGGTTTATATTCAGTTACTTATATTAAATATTATTTTGTTTTATATATTTTTTTGAGACGGAGTTTTAACTCTTGTTGTCCAGGCTGGAGTGCAATGGTGCAATCTTGGCTCACTGCAACCTCTGCCTTCCTGGTTCAAGCAGTTCTCCTGCCTCATCCTCCTGAGTAGCTAGGATTACAGGCACCCACCACCATGCCCAGCTAATTTTGTGTTTTTAGTAGAGATGGGGTTTCACCATGTTGACCAGGCTGGTCTTGAACTCCTGACCTCAGGTGATCCGCTTGCCTCAGCCTCCAAAAGTGCTGCGTTTACAGGTGTGAGCCACCGCACCTGGCCAGTATTTATTATTTTACTTTGCAAAGTTGGGATTATGTCGGAAGTGCTGTATTTGATCCTATTCTTTTTGCAAAATTATGGGGTGACCAAGAAAGTTTTTTTTTTTTTTAACATGCATCAGCCACTAATTTTTAGTTTTTAATTTTTTTTTTTTTTTTTTTTTTTTGAGACGGAGTTTCGCTCTTGTTACCCAGGCTGGAGTGCAATGGCGCGATCTCGGCTCACCGCAACCTCCGTCTCCTGGGTTCAGGCAATTCTCCTGCCTCAGCCTCCTGAGTAGCTGGGATTACAGGCACGTGCCACCATGCCCAGCTAATTTTTTGTATTTTTAGTAGAGACGGGGTTTCACCATGTTGACCAGGATGGTCTCGATCTCTTGACCTCGTGATCCACCCGCCTCGGCCTCCCAAAGTGCTGGGATTACAGGCTTGAGCCACCGCGCCCGGCCCCAGCTGTTAATGTTTACTGGGCTTACATTTGTATGTAGATTGTCTTCTACCTTCAAACTTGCTGGTTTCTTTAGAGGTGTTAACGTTGAATGTGTGAAAGTCACTTAATGAACTTAAGAGTTAAGAGATTTGTGTGTGTTTCTATTCAGTAAAGGCCAAGAGTAATGAAAAAAAAAATCCCTAATTTCATCTCTATTAGGTGTCATCATTGATAATATATTTCTGTCATTTTCAACTTTTTTTTTTCTTTTGAGTAGAGTCTTGCTCTGTTGCCAGGCTGGAGTGCAGTGGCACAATCTCAGCTTACTTCAACCTCTGCTTTCTGTGTTCCAGCGATTCTCCTGTCTCAGCCTCTCGAGTAGCTGGGACTACAGGTACACACCACTACGCCCAGCTAATTTTTGTAGTGTTAGTAGAAATGGGTTTCACCATGTTAGCCAGGGTGGTCTGGATCTCTTGACCTCGTGATCTGCCCACCTTGGCTTCCCAAAGTGCTGGGATTACAGGTGTGAGCTACTGTGCGCAGCCTCAACATTTTCTTTGACTTTGACCTTTTTTTTTTTGCAGTTACTTTCACAGGTAGCATCTGTCCAAATGGTGGTTGAGTCACTGTTTTCCTGCTGTATGATGGTGGCCATCTTTGCGTCAGCTGCACTAACAATGAGTCCTGTGTTTCTTATCGATAGCACTGGCACTTTTATTTTCCTATTCATCTTTATTAAGATGTAGGCAAATTGCAGTAAAATGCCCTATAATTGTTCTGTCAAGGTAATGGTTTGGTTAATATTGGCCAAATGTGGTAGTCTCCCTTTACCTGCAGTTTTGCTTTCTGTGGTTTCAGTTACCTGAGGTCTATCGGGGTATGAAAATATTAAGTAGAAAATTACAGAAATAAACAACTCACAAGTTTAAAGTATGCCCTGTTCTGAATAGTGTGTTGAAACCTCGCTCTATCCCACTGGAATGTGAATCACTTCTGGCCAGCGTATCCATGCTGTCTAGCTGTCCACCTGTGCTCCTCACCCCTTAGTCACTTAGGAATCATCTCAGTTTCAGATCCACTGTCGCAGAATTGCGGTCCTTGTGTTTGAGTCATTCAAGTCACCCTTATTTGACTTAGTAGCCTCAAAGCACAAGAGTAGTGATGCTGGTATAGCGTCATAAGTTTTGGTTTTATTATTTGTTATTGTTGTTAATCTCTTACTGTGCCTAATTTAGAAATTAAATTAATCATAATGCCAGGCAAGGTGGCTCATGCCTGTAATCCCAGCACTTTGGGAGGCTGAGGTAGGTGGATCACTTGAACTCAGGAGTTAGAGACCAGCCTGGGCAACATGGAGAAACCCTGTCTCTACAAAAGCACAAAAATTAGCCAGGGCATGGTGGTGTGTGTGCCTATAGTCCCAGCTACTTGGGAGGCTGAGGGGGAAGGATCACTTGAGCCCAGGGAGGTCGAAACTGTAGTGAGCCATGGTTGTGTCACTGCACTCCAGCCTGGGCGATGGACTAAGACCCTGTCTCAAAAACAACAACAAAACTTTATCATAGGTATGTATATACAAGAAAAAACACAGTATATATGGGATTGGGCACTATCCACAGTTTCAGGCATCCACTAGGGGTCTTGGAACACATCCTCCTCGGGTAAGGAGGGACTACTCTGTATAGCTCACTGGTGAGCTGATACGGGAAGGGTGGCTTAGGGGTGTCTTTGTGTAGTGTAGCTAAGTTTAGGTTGTCAGATAATCCTCTGTCACTTATCCTGAACAGTATGGAGTGTGAGGGTTGCATTCTTAGTTGGAGAGTTTGCTTGAAGGTTGCTCATTCAAATGTGTTTTCTTGGGCAGCTCTGTAGCTGACCTGGCGAGCTGACAGATACCTTTGGGCTGCAGCAAGTCTGACTTTGTTAGGCACGGCTGAGGAGAGGTGGGTCTGTAGGCATGGAAGTCAGCCTCTGACTCATCTCTCTGTGCTAATTAAATAAAAGGTAACAACACCCCCTTCCCCATTGCTTGCTTCCCCCCTCCGGTTTTCTGTTTTCTGTATAAATAGGGGCTCTAGATTTCCCACAGTTACTGAGTATCTGGGTGTGACTATGAGACAAGGAAGCTTTACTTTTCAGTTTTCCTGGTGGCTTTTTTTTTTTTTTTTTTTTTTGAGATGGAGTCTTGCTCTGTCACCCAGGCTAGAGTGCAGTGGCACCGTCTTGGCTCACTGCAACCTCCGCCTCCTGGGTTCAAGCAATTCTCCTGCCTCAGCCTCCTGAGTAACTGGGATTGCAGGCATCT